CGGAGCCCGGGGGAGGCGCCTGGGCTCAACCGCCCGTGCGGGGCGGCGGGCCTTCCGGGGCGCCGTCCAGTAAATCGCCCTCTGCCTCTGCAGCGGGTCGGAGCCCGGGGGAGGCGCCGCAGCGCGAGCGGAGCTGCACTTAAAGCCCGAGCCCAGCAGACGGGGCGGCGCTTGTCGCCCGGCAACCGCCCCACAGGTGTTTCCACCCTCGCAACACCCGGCCGGGCTGTAGCCACGGGTGGGCGCGTGCGCGCGGGCACGTGGGCCGCTCGGCGGTGGCCACGGCACCGTGACCGCGACCACGCGCGGCAGGGAGTCCCTCTGGGCCCACAGCAGTAGCAGGGCGACACCCAGAGGTGCCGGCGGCGCTGGAGAGCCCGACACCCCTTCTCCCCAGCTGGCTCCCCAGAGTAAACCCCCAGCCCGCAAGCCAGACCAGGGAAGAGACCACACGCTCCACTGTCACCGCCTGGAATCGCCAGCGGGCGGGCTCCTGCCGCCAACTCGGCCCCCCCCAGGCCCCTCTTCCCCAGCCATGTCCAGGCGGGGGACCCCACGGCCTCCGCCCAGGCCCCTGCCGCCAACCCACCCACCATGCCCGGCCTGTACCCAGGCTTGCCCACCTGCACGGCAGCGGCAAAGGCCCCCTGCTGCGGGGGGGGGGGGCAGAAGAGAAGCTGCAACTCTCGGCAGCAGACGGCCCCGCGCCCCTGCCTGGGTGGTCAGAGGGGGTCACGTCCCACTGAGGCAGGTTTACTAGGGCGCCCCCGCCTCCCCCCTCCCGTCTCACTCCCAGAGTTGGGGAGTTGAGGAGTCGAGCAGCGCAGGGCCTGGGAGTGATGTCTTGCCCTGAACAAGCCGCGGTCGCTGCTACGCTGCTGTCAGCGTTGGCTCCTTGGGGACCTCGGCCAGGGCCGCTGGCCCCTGGGCCTCCCGCGCCTCCCCAGGAGCGGACGGTCTGTGAGCCGCTCTCGCTGAGAGGGGGAGCCTTTCCACCCCCTTCCACAGGCAGGATGCGGCCTGGACGCAGGTCAGGGGCTGTGGGCCCCACCCCACGTGCGTGTGGCTGCCGGCCAGGCCGAACCGCGCATGGTGAACACACACAAGGTCCCGCAGGCCCACGACTGCTCTGCAGATGGAGGCTGGCACGGCGTGGGAGGAGCAGTCTTCTCATCCCCGGGACGACCAGCGACCAGATAAAGAAGTCCCGGGAAGGGCGCACGGCGGCATCTGCAGGGCGCGTGCAGAGGACGAGGTCAGTCCCGCGTGGCAGGCCTGCCATCAGAGGGTCTTCAGCGGGCACCACCAGAACCAGAGAAGTCCCGTCAGGAATAACTCCCCTGTTGACGTCAGGGACTCGCTGCTGCTGGTTAAACTCCCTCAAGTGTCTTTATGAGAGCAGTGAGGGTTCACTCCAGCCACAGACCCTGGTGCTCAGGCTTCATTTCCAGGTGACAGTGCCAGCATCGGAGGTGTGTTGGTTATGTCGTCATGCTCCAGAGGCTCACGGGCCAGGACCCTGACGTCACACGCACAGGCAAGACGTGCCCTCTTACTATGTCGAGCGCAGAAGCGCAGGGCGTGAGGAAGTGTGAGGCGTGTTGCAGCTGGGTGGTCGGAGGCCTCCCTCTGGAGACCAGGCCGGACCTGATGTCAGAGGCCAATGTGTGCAGTCAGCCTGTGGGCTGCGGCGAGTCCTCGGTGCTCTGAACTCCTTCCCAACTGCCCAGCACTGAGGCAGAATGAGGAACTGGGAGTCTGAGGTGAGGGCCGGGAAAGTCTCAGTGAGCAACGAGCCACCGACCTGCAGACCGGGGCCTGGCGCGGCTGGGCAGGCGACCGCAGGGCAACGGCAGGGGCCCCCTGGGTTTTGTGGACTTTCCAGAACACACACTGAGAGAAGAAAGCTGAAGTGAGGCCAGGGATGGGAGGCCCTGTCCTTAGGTGGAAGGGTCCTGGAGACAGTGGGGCCTCCTGGGGCGGTGGCACCCAACATAGCTCTGGGGGACAGAGGGCGGCCGCACCCGGTGGGGAGACTGACTCCGTGGCGAACCCCGGTGGCTTTTTCACAGCCCCTCGAAGAGTCGTTTCCCTGAAAGTTAAGTTTGTAGAAAGCAAGTGTGGAAAGGGGCCCTGAGTGTGGCGCCCTGAGGGCCAGCCTGGACGCACGTGGGCCCACGGCAAGGCCTGGACAGGTCACCACCTGTGAGGCCGTGGGCAGCGCTGGGGCTCATGGAGATGGTTGGCCACAGGGTCTCGGGACCACGGGGAGGCCACCACACGTGTGTGGGGTCTTCAGACTGAGCCACGGCACAGCGCAGCCCCAGACACTCTCTCCCTCCTTGAGGGGGGCACCACTGCCCTGATGTTTCCATGAAGAGGTTGGACAGCCAGCTGGGGCCACCCCTCCCCGGGGAAGCTCTGCTCCTCATGTGTGGAGATCCTGAGGGGGGCTCTGTGTGGAGCAGCAGGGCCTCCCAGGGGAGGGGTCGGACTGGATGTGGGGGTGGGGGGCTTCCTTCCGGGGTTTTGAGAGTCCAGTCCCCCACGACCAAGCACTAGATCCTCTTTTTGAGCGAGAAATAGAAACCGGTCTGGGCGGTGCTGCACTCAGTCAGAGGCCCTTCACTTCCAACAGCTCGGCCAGGCTCTGCAGGGTGGATGGGTCAAGAGGAGCAGTCGAGGATTTGCTAGGGCCGGAAATGCAGTGTCCATTGCCACTGAGTACATGGCCGCCCCGTGGGCAGAGCAGCTCGAGTGCAGACGTGACAGGAGCCCTCTGCTCTGGGCTTCTCGGCAGTGACCGTGTCGGCAACAGTAGCAAGGTCCACAGGGAGCCGGGCCCGCTCTGCGTCCTGGGCGCGTCGGCAGCCCGGGCAGTGGCGCCTGGCCCTCAGGGGCTCCTCAGCCAGCCACCAGGTCTCTTGTCTGTGTCTAAATTCAGGCAGTGACACATTGCTTCCTTAGGCCTGACCTTGAGGGAGAGGGGTCCATAGCGCTCCTGGCGCCGTCGAGGAAAGCAGCCTGGGCCTCCCTCCAGGTGGTCCTCCCGCTGGTCACCACAGTGGCCCTGGTCGTGCCGGGAGGCTTCGCTGGCTCGAGGCTCCGTGGGAAGGTGGGGAGAAAGGCCACGCGTACGAGCCAGACCTGCCAGTGCAGCCCACACGTCTAGGCAGAGGCCGGGAGGTGCTGACCGTGGCCACGCCCACCGGGCGCCGTGGCCTGCAAGCTCAGAGGGGAAGCGGCCTTTCCTGCCATCACCAGGGCACACAGCCTCTGCCTCTCTGCCCCTCCCCAAGGAGGAGGATGGCCCGCACCCTCCAGTCAGGGCGGCGCAGCCCGGCGCCTCTCTCCCAGGGAAACACGCTCTTGCTGCCAGCACGGCCCCTGCCCATGTGAGCCAACTGCACGCAGCCTCCAGCCCGCCAGACAGCATCCAAGCGGCTCTCGGCCCAGTATCCAGCACGGCCACCCTTGACCGCCGGGGCTTTACCCTCAGTCCAGACAGTGACCGACCTGTGCGCCACCCCAGGAGCCGGGCTTTGGAGTGTTGGGGTAACCAGGGTTGGGGGCGGGCCGGGGCTGCTGGGAAGAGCAGCGCTGGGAATAGCACGTGCAAAGGCCCTGTGGCAGATGCGTTCAGGGCCACAGCCCTGCCTCCTGGGGCGGCTGCTGCTTCGCCTCCCCTGACCAGACCCGAGGCCCAAATCCCGACCTTTGAGCCCGCACTCCTCACGTCGGCCCACGGTCTCCACGTCTGGGTGGCCGTGACTGGAGCTGGGCAGCTCGCTGCAGCCGGCGACTGTCTTATGGAGCCCGAGCACAGGCCCACAGGGCTAGCTTGCAGCGCTGGCGCAGGGAGGGGCGAGTTCCCTGCAGCAGCCCGACTGCCCGTGGGCTCCCGCATTCGCGCCTGAGGGAGCTGGGGCCTCCTCCCACTGCTGGCGAGTCTGGGGCCCCCCGCACCTGCTCTGTCCTGCAGAGCCGGCGCCCCCGTCCACGGCACAGCCCCTGCCCGGTCAGTCTCAGGCGCGCTCCTTGTCAGGCGAGGCCCAGACAGGCAGTTACTCCTGAAAACCCTGCCCGGGCCGTCAGGCGGCACACAGCTTTGAAGGCTCCTTACAGGTACAACCAGGCCACGGGCATGGCTCAACCAAGTGCTCAGTCTGCTGGGCTGCAAGTCAGCTATAAAACCGGGGGTGGGGGAGGGGAGGGAGGGAGGGGGCAGCAAGCGGAGGAGGGACAAGGGTGGAGGGGGAGGGAACTGAGGAAGAGGGAGGGGAGGAAAGGGAGCAAGGACCGGAAGGGAGAAGCGGGCAGAGCAGGGTTG